GCATGAAAAGTCAAAAGAGAGACATGGATGATTGGTTTAGTGAAGAGCGTGAGTTCTTCAGCAGTCTTCTCTCCCGCTGCCTCATTGCCTTTGCAGACAGTCTATGTGTGTGTGTGTGGATAATGAAAGATGAAGGTCAGGTTGAGGGCAGCGGTCAGAGGACAACATCTGACTCTACCTGCTATGAGCTCCTTCAGGCCAACATTTTACCAGTCACTCACGCATATGCAAATATACCTATTTTTAGTTGCTTATATGCCTGAGGGTGGCAAGTGAGTGCTAGGAAATATGGCAAAAATAGTTATTTATTGTCAAATCTTTACTTATCTCAAGTTTAAAGGAAGACTTGCTACAGAGCTGAAATCACAGTAATCAGTTGCTTGTGATTTAATTTTTTTTTGTCAGAACATGACAAATGCTTGTCAAACTGGTGAAAAATAAAGCTACAAGCTGATAATTGGCCATTGGGCAGTTTCAGGCCATTGGTGAGTGTATGTCAGGCTAGTTTATTTGGTGTGTTCTACACATCGTCATTTTTAAGTGAAACTAATGCCTAGTTCAGACTGCATGATTTTAGCCCTGATTTTGACTTGCCGACACGTTTTGAAAAAATGGCAACAAATGGATGAAATCACGAGCAAATTAGTGCACGTGCACACGAGTAACAATCACATAGTATGAGTGAGCAAAGATGTGATCTGAGAGAATCGCTTATGAGTCACTGACACCTGTGAGATATTTGGCATGCTAAATATCTGGAGCTGTTGGCGATTTAAATCATGCCGTGTGAGATACACCTACAGCTAATGAGAAAGTAGCATACACCACTATAGTAGCATACACCACCACTATAGCATACACCACAACTATAGTTAAAAGTGCTTCTTTTTAGTCAATTTGGACCCCGGAAATAGGGGGAAAATTAGTGGAAATTTGGCAGGAGCACTACTGTCTGTTTGATGTGTCATCTGAGCAATTCCAAAACAGGGTTGAAAAAGAAAAAAAAAGTTGAGAAGAAATTGCTAATTCCCTTCAAAGGCCAGGTGAGCAAAATAAGTACATTTTCTACACCCTTTAAGGCTTCTTTTTCATTATGTAGTTAATAACTAAAGATACACTACGTAACCTTGCATCGTTTCCATGTTTCCACACACTCATTTCTCATGTGTTTTCGCAGACAGAGACAAAGTTGCAAGGGATTCTTCCTATTGTGAAGTCATGCAGTGTAAAACCCTTTGTCGCCAATCCATCTTGCAGTGTAAACAAAGCAGCGACGAAACGCTACCCCAGATAGTCATACAGTGTAAAAACATCTGTGACACGACTACTTTGAAAATCGTGCAGTGTGAACTCAGCATTAGCGAATAACACGTTTCAAGAGTGAATACAATGAAGCGTCATTGTGTAATATTTCATAAATATTTTCAAACAATATGGATTATTAGGTTATCAGACATATTTGCATAAACTGATTTTTCTCTGGGGAGCAAGAAGTACTGTGAAAATGGTTCAGAAATGCTGCTTTTGTTACAGTTTGTATGTGTGCAGCACTATAGTTGCAATTTTCCTTTGTGTAATGATATTATAGACTCCAGCCAACCGTGGGTATTGAAAGATACATCCTTTCATGCAGATGCAGAATATAAATTCTTGTCTCAGTTAGTCGTTGTCTATTTGATGTAAAGTAACTTAAATGACAATTCATCTACTGGCTGCTGGGGGCTTACTCCAAAACAAAGCAAATTCCTAAAGACTCCCATGTTAAAATGTCCAACTTTTCAGCAGAAAAAAAGGTGTTTAGAGTCAGGTGCAAAAAATGGTTTTAGTTAATGTAGCTAAGATTACCCTTCATGACAACTGTAATGATGGTCAATAAAAAAAACCTCATCCATTTAATTTATATTAAGTCTTAGAATTCCGCATAATTGCCACAACCATATCAACCTGCAGCCCAAAACCTGTTATTCACTAAAGCTAAGCAAGGCTAAGCCTGGTCTGTACCTGGATGAGAGACCAGGTTGCTGTGGTGTTAGGGAGGCCAGCAGGGGCGCTCAACCTGCAGTCTGTGCGAGTCCTAACACCCCAGTAAACTATACTGTCAGTGAGTGCCATCTTTCACATGAGATGTTAAAGTGAAGTCCTGACTCTCTGTGGTCATTAAAGGAGCAGTATGTAAGTTTTACATCCAGGGGTTAAACTAGGTATTGCACTCCTGTATCAAAATGCAAGCTCGGGTTGCCAGATTGAGGAGATGGGCGAGTGATTTAAACCGTGTTCTAAATAAAAGCAATGACACCTGGTAGAAGGAATATTTTCCATATTAAAAGGAGCTTTTGTCCTCAACACCTTGAATTAATATATTAGAAATTGATTTTTTTTTCTTCACAGGTAAACAATAGAAAACTATGACAATGATCGCCTCAGTTACAGCTTATGTGCTATATTCAGTGGGAAATGCTAACAATGTCAGTTTGAATGCCATTTTACATGACATTTATTGCCATATTACTGAAATTAGAAGCAGATAGTTCACCTCAGATCTCGAAAATAAACCGTCTGAAGTTTAACTTAAACACATATGAGTGATTCAGCATGTCCATTTTTATAATGTTAAAGAGAGTTAATTTGTGTTTATTAGCTTATAAACCTTACCATTTGAGTGAGTGCACATTATGTGCTTCTGAATGGCTGTATATAATTTTCTGTCATTTGTCTTGTGCAAACAGGTAGGACACGCCATAACAATGTAACCTGCTAACCTAATGTTTACGTTCATAATATTTATATTATTTGCTAATTAATAACCTGATGTGGAACTGAATCTGCGTCTCATTTCTGAGTCTGCTACTTTAAACTGGAGGTCACATTTTGGTCACGGACGCATGCTTTCAGAGCCTTTCTAAATGAATGAATGAAATATGCGGTTTTCCACCAAGGCAACCTGCAGTGCTGAAATATGATTTGCTAAACTGCCATTGGGGAAGTTAAAATGATTAAAAAAACAGCGTTCGGGTATAGAAAATATTTTTAAAGCAGAATATCTGATTTCAGCATTGTTTTTCAGATAAACAAATCGTCACTTTAGAATTATAAGGTTCTATCTGCATTCTGAATGGTTTTGAGATTTTGAGCTTCAAGGTTTTTGCATTCCATATAGTAAACAGTATGTGTGTAGCATTTGTTTTTTAAACAAAAAGTCTTAAAACGTAAACAACTTAAGAAAAAACATCTCATAATGTAATTAAGTTGTCATTCAATAAGAATATGTCCATAATTCAATTTTGACAAAAATGCCAGTTAGAACCTTATAAGGTGATAAAACATGTTCACTTGACATGTTTCTTATTAAATATCTGCAAACTTATTATGGCATTTTTATGCTGTAGAAGAGTTAAAAACTTACATACAGCACCTTTAAAAATCTCATGGCACTTCTTGTAAAGAGTAGGGGTGTAACCCCGGTGTCCTGGCCATTACCCATCATGGCCTCCTAATCATACCCATCAACCGAACTGGCTATGTCTCTCTCCACTCCACTATAGCTGGTGTGTGGTGAGCGCACTGGCACCGTTGTCCTGTGGCTGCCGTCGTATCATCCAAGTGGATGCTGCACACTGATGGTGATGTAGAGAGACCCTCCTCATGATTGTGAATCGCTTTGGGTGTATGGCCACACACAATAAATGCGTATTTATGCTTTAGTTTTATGTGACTTTACACAGTCTATTGCTTTTTGGAATTATTTCTTACAATTATCAAATAAGAATGTGCTCACAGACCACTCAAGTCTAGCGTCCATATTTCCGGTTAGTAATGCTCTTACATAATTTTATTTATAAATAAAATAATTTTATTTATAACAGTAATTTATTATTTATAATTTTATTTGTGAAAAACAAACATCTAGCATGTAAAATATCAGGTCCAGTTGGCCAACTCAGGTGCCACAGCCAATGAATGAGCAAGTGATGGGTTGATATTGCCTTCAGTTACTCTACAGAAAGGCCTGAGCAAAAACGAAAGTAACTTAAACCGCAATTAATTTACTGGCTGCAGGGGGCTGATTCCAAAACAGAGCCAATTCCGTTAGACTTCCATGTTAAAATGTTAAACTTTTCAGCCAAAAAAAAGGTGTATAGTGAATGGTTCATCTGATAGATGTGGCTTTCAAATGCTTCTGGATCTGTCTTGATATATATATATATATATATATATATATATATATATATATATATATATAAAACACGTCATAATTTTTTTCAGACAACATATTTTAAAGGTGCAGTTTATGAATGGAACTTAGTATTGATTAAAAAGATTAAAAACAAGAAATCAATAATAATCTAACATTACTGTGCATCTAGCTTTTGTAATTTATCTAGTCTTTGCGCAGTAAAAAAAGGACTTTTAAAACACTGCTTTAGTCACAAAAACACACATCATGATCATAATACTGAACAGATACCAAACAGTTCTATATAATCTATATATTATAAAACATAATGTAATACATTTATAAAATAATAACTGCAACATTTTATCACCCTGTCCTCATAGCCAGTGTGTTAGACTAGTACAGTATACAATTTTTTACGCGTGAATTTGTACATTTTTAATTTTGTGCTATTTTTGGGGTATCAAAGTTAATCCATAAACTTATATAAATTTACACCATTCCATTTCTCAGTAAAATATAATATGATTGACTAATGTAGGCTGTTATACCTAGTTTTTATTTTTTAGCTACCTGTAGTTTGTATTGTTACTTTTGCAACTATTTACATCATTATGTATTTATATGTTTTTTTATTATTACTTTTAGTTCGCAATACTTTATGATTTGTTGTGCGACACGACATTGCTCACCTTATGTATGCTATTTCTAAGGAGGCAGAAAAATCACCTAAACGTTCCTATAAAGGCATAAAGCTCATAAGAGGTCTCAAAAGGGAAGATAAGAGACTCACAGTGACAGAATAAGGCATGTATTTAGTGTTCACCTTAAAAGCGAGTAATTCCTGCAGTTGCTGAATCCTTTTCTCCAGACTGTCAGCTCCGTCACTGCTGCTGCCACCTGGAGACCCAGAGTCCTGATGAAAACAGAAAGAAACCGATAAAACAACAGAACAACAGCTTTCATTAACACAAAAGTCAAGTTTTTAATTATCAAAAGCAATAGAAGAGCAATAGGCCTTCACATACGAAAACACAAACATCAGCCCGCGCGGTCTCCGAAATCTAACAGGGGACACGGGCTGAATCGCAAGGAGGAGCACACACGGCATGCTGCTGAAGGGTTCTCTGTGCAGGGACCTAATGAGCATGTTCATTTCCATTTACATTGTTTCTTTGACAATAATGATGTCCCATTAGGGGAGACTAAAGGGTTATAGAGTGAGAAACGCGCCAGGCCTCATTACCAAAGGTGGGAAGGGAGGCGCCTTTAATTGCTCTATCAGGGGCCAGAGTTACACTTGATAGGACAACAGAAGCAGACTTTAGGGAGAAAGGAAAAAAAAATAGAATGAGAGAGAGAGAAAGAGAGAGAAAGAGAGAGAGAGAGAGAGAGAGAGAGAGAGTAAGAGAGAGAAGTTGGCTCTCTCTTCTGAAGTACCTAAAACCAGTGGAGAGCAGTGTGAGACTGGAATGGGAAATCTGGTCAGGTCGGTGAAGGAAGGCCAGATGGCGGATCAACTGTGAAAGACTGAAACTACAAAATGGCAGACGCACCACTACAGCTCAAGAGAAGGAGATCTTTAGGGAGCAGATCAAAAACTCTTAATCTAAGAAGAAAAAACATTAATACTTCAGAGAACTGAAAAGATCCTTTAAAAGCTGATTAGCTCTTGACTGCGCTGCCGTTGAATGAAACTAACTAGAGTCGCTTTCTTGGAGCTCTTAGTCCAAAAGGATCTACCTATTGATGTGTTGAAGTCAACTCATTAACAGCATTGCTGAACTTTCCTCTGACACATGTCCCAAAACCAGACTTAGCATTCACAGCATTCACAGGAACAGTGGTGTCCTCATCATCAAAGACCTCTGCAACTCTGCAAGGATTAGCAAAAGAGCGAAATTAAAGCTTACAAAGGAGAGCCAATCAATACCTGAATATGGAGAACAAAGACATGGTTCCAGCAGTCGTAAAACTGATGGCAAGAAAAGTCTTCTTTCGCTCTTCCTTCTGCTTATATGCAAAGATGCAAACTCATCAGGGTAAAGAAAATCTGACCCCCGCCTCCCCCCTTAAAAGGCATTTGAGTGTATGAATCACCAGAAAGAGATATGTAAAAAATGTAGCTTTTAAATTAGACATATATACTGGGAAATCTCCCCCTTAAATCTATACTTAAAAAACAAACACTCTCCATTGCAGTTTTTTCAGTTTTTTTTTAACCTACCAACTCTTTTTTAAAAATAAAAATTATTAGTTGTTTCCACGTGAGATATGGCTTGATAAACATGATGACATGTAAACTGTACCCAGAATAGGAAAGTCTACAAAACAAGGTAAAGCATTTTCATATCTGTCTCCTGAACTCTGGAATAATCTTCCTGATAATGTCAGAGGCTCAGACACACTCTCTCAGTTTAAAACTAGATAAAAATCTTTTTAATAAAGCATATTCACAAAACATAATCGATGCAGCTACGCAAATTATTATTATTTTTTTTTTTGCTCTATATTTTTACCTCCTCAATTGACTTCAGGGACAACACAAAATCTTAAGCAATACACCAATATGCTTCAATGAAAATGTATTATACACATAGATATCACCTTTTCAAAAAGACATATATATATTAGGTTTGCCACAATATACGGTGTTGACGGTGATACCGGTTTTAAGACGCAACACCGGTGACATCACTTTTCCACCGTGACACCGTCCACACATTTATTTATTTTTTTTAAGTATTCGTTTTTTTTTTTTTTTTTATTAAACATTTATTTTAATTAAATGGAAATTATAATTATGAGTAATTGAATTAAGATGAGAGCATGCTCTATAATTAAATCTGAACATAGCTACAATGAGTCATATTTCATTTATCACGTGAGGAGAAAAGAGGAGTCGAATTTACAGAAAGAGGATGGTGGACGATTTACTGTCAAAACGCAATGCAAAAGCGCCTGTTTGGCAATATTTTGGGTTCAAATCGAATGCAAAAAGAGAACCTGAAAACGTTAATGTGGCAATCTGCAAACTTTGCCTGACAAAGGTGGCAGCATCTAGAGAAAACATAACTAATTTATAAGCACCTTGAACGCACCTTTATGTTTAACTATGGGTGGGTCGCAGATAAATCAATGGCCATAAATACGCAACTCGTACTCTCATTTTAAAAATCATGCGACCATCATCTCACAATGTTTAAAAATAAGTATCTTATTTTTTTTATTAAAACGAGTGATTTGGCAATGCCGCGCCATTGACAATCCAACTGCAGAGAAACAACATCACATCAACCGCAGTGAGCACTTTTTCCGAAGTTCAGCTGTTCTCTTTTGCACTTGATTGTGTTTAATGTTAAAAAAAAATCCATAATGAATAGGCCGACAAGAGCGCATCCTGTGTGCGCGCGCATCATTTATAACTGAGACCGATCTCTTTAAAAACCAAAAGTTGCTTTGTCTGTCTGCCAATATTTCGGCTTTTAATCTAATGAAAAGTTCATTTAGATGAGCCAATATTAAAAATTGCAATAAAGTAACTGAGACGTGCGGCCACAATTCGAATCTGAGGTCTGATCTTATCTCTCTCTCTCTCTCTCTCTCTCTCTCTCTCATTCAGACATCGAGAGACCACAAGTCAAGTCGCAAAACTTAGGCTGGTGCAGCTGACAGGTAGAATAGCTGAAGCCTTTGCGAAATCTGTCACAATACAGCACTGAAATTAACAGGCATAAACGTCTTTCAGCCAAAAAAAAGTATATTCGTAGGATATCTGTAAAAACGCAATTGGAGCCAATTTTATGTAGGAGTTGTATAGCCTGTTAATTATATTAATTCTAAGAGAGATCAAAGCTGGTATCGAAATAACTAAAAAGCAAGATCATATAGTTATAAATATTCCATAACAATTCTTATCGAAATATTTAGACATTTACATGTTGTTTATTGAGATTGTGGGAACAGTAGGCTCTCTGATCTTTAAAGAAGCTGTAAACTGACACGTGTGCAGTGATGGTTAGCTTCGAGAAGCCGCTTTTTTTAAGGCTGATTTATACTTCTGCGTCAAACACCGGCGTATGCTACGGCGCTGACGCATAGCCCTTCGCCGTGGCCGTCACTGACGTGCACCTCTCAAAAAATGTAACTACACGTCGCAACGACGCGTAGCGCAAGCTCTATGATTGGTCGGCTTGGTAGCGCTGATGAGTCGGGGCAGGACCGAGAGCCGTGCGAATGGCGCGAACCCAATGTAGCGATTGTTTACAAGTGTGGAGTCCCGTGAAGGAGCTCTGGATGGAAAGTTCTGTTTTGTGTTTACCTCATAGTTAAAGTTGCTGCACTTCCGCCGGTTCCTGCCTTAAAATGAGCGAGTTTGAGCCACTTGTACATCCCGGAAGTGTTCAGGAAAAGCAATATTGCAGCGAAGAAACTCGACACAGAGGAACATTTACACCTCACTGCAAACTAGCGTTTCGGAAGTGTTAATGCAGACCAACAGAGACAGCGCGCAGAAGTATAAATGCACAGCCACGCGCGTTGCATGCACTGTGGGTTACGCCTGTCACTTGACGCAGAAGTATAGACCAGGCTTCAGCCTGTAGTCTTTACATATTTTTTTACATATCTTTACATATGTATGACATTTTCCATTTTTTAACATTTGTTTTTTATTTTTTATTTATAGTTTATATATAAAATGAGTGCTAGCTTGTTTAGTTGTGATCATTATGCAAGGATCATATTTCATATTTGGTTTATTCTTCAATAGCCTATAGATTTGTTAATAATGTATTTTAAAACTGGATTGTTGATAAGGACTAAGCTGATAATATATAATATAGGCCTTTATGGGTGTTATTTGTATGGTTCCAACTTCCACAGTTTTTTCAGCCTGTAGCATTGTTTATTTGTTATGTTAATACAAGGTATGTGTTGTTTAATAACAGTGATTTTTTTTTGTAGTTTCCTTTTCATCAATTCAAAGAATTGACCCAGAATTGGCAATTCCCGCAAAACTGAAAGTGAAAGTATAATACGCACACATTTATAAGCTATTTAAAAGCAGAAAAAAAAGAGGAAAAAAAGAAACTCCCACGGTGTTGTCACATGACGATTAACCGGTGGGGAAATTTCCTCATCGTCATAACCCTAATATATATATGTATTACAGGTTAAGTATAGATATTGTCCACCTTATACACAACTTTCTGGGCCCTATTAAACACCTGGCGCAATAAGGCGCAAGACGTGTGGTGCACTTTGTTGCTATTTTCAGCCAAGCGCAACCCTAATTTACACGTTTTTGCACCATATTATTTAAATAGCAAATCCATTTGCACCACTTTGTGGACTCATGGGTGTGCCGGTCTACAAAGAAGGCGCGTTGCTATTTTGAGGAACTAAAATAGACTGTGCCTTGACCAACTAAAAAGCTTGTGCAGAGCACATTAGTTATGGGCCTATGTGGGTCCAAACGCTTACACATTGCTTAAAACACAAAGGATGTACAGCAATACACACATTTTCTTTACATATGAAAACAATTAAAGGATTAAAATTTTACAAAAATTATTATTTTTTTACATAAATATAAAAACTACTGCCTCCATGCCTTCATCTCGGGGTGCTTTTTTCAGTTTATTCATGACAATTTGCATTTGTATAATGTTATTATTATTATTTTTTTATTAATAATAATAATAATAATAAGAAGAAGAAGAAGAAGAAGAATATTATGAGTATTGTTTATTATATGCATATTTATATTTGCTTTAATTAAAACAAGTTTAGTTTTGTCCATCTGTCAGGTTTTTAAGAATAGAATGTGTGTTTGGCTAGAACTCAGTTTTTGACAACACTTTATTATTATTGTTCATTTATTTGTTTGCTAAAAACTTGAACTGAATTTAGAAA